CTCCATCTATCTTGACCTATCTTGAATATGAATAGGAACTTTTCTTCCTGTGATTTGACGTAGCACCAATGGGAATTTAAAATTAGTGTATACTTTATGACTTTCTGATCGACCCAAACGACTGAAGACATGAGCGTACTTCTTTGCGAAAAAAGAACACCAGTATTCTGAAATTGGATCTGAGGAGCCAGAATCCATCGACTGGATTGTTTCTGCCTTCAATTGTGTGGTTACAATGCTCAGTTTCTCCTGCAAGTCCAAGCCGAGAAGATTACGAGTTCTATTCTCCGAGATGAGGAACTGAGCGTTAGCCACCCTCCAGACACTAGAGGAAATTGGAATTTGAATCGACCCCAGGAGGCGAATGGGCTTCTTATTATAGTCAACGTACAAGGTATCGATAGGGTAACGTGTGATATCGCGAAACTCAATTGTTGGACTTCTTTGCAAGAGTAAATCAGAGGTGCGTTTATTCAGGAACGAAACTGGGCTTCCTGTGTCTACTGTCGAATAGAAAAACTGTAACCAGAGCGCAACTGAATACTGAGGCTCCGAGGTTGTCCTCCACTTGACTTAAGAGTTTCTACGCTATTTATCATGACAGCAGATTCCAGCTGTAACACCCCATATTCGGGCTCACTATCCTAGTCTACATTTATGAAATTGCAATCCACAGAGGGACCTGCCACGTCCTCATTTTCCTGCACCAGATTGACACGTCCTTTCGACAGTTACAACATTTCGCAAAATGACCTCGTTTCCGACAGAGATTACATGTTACGTCGCGAGCTGGACAAGATTTTCGGTGCTCCGGGCTATAGGGATTACCACAGAAGTAACATGATTGTTTTATTTACTTGTTTGATTGTTTTGAAACGTCTGTCGATTACTTTGGTTTTGAGGATAAATCCGCTTTCCTCTCGACGACTGAATAGAGCAAGTAGGTTTTTGTTTAACCTTAATGCCGGTTGAATTTTGATTATGAGGAAGAAGTTTTTGAAACTGAGCCGACGTACTTGCTCCCTTCTCACACTCGAGTGCGAGCTTAAAAGTACCATCTAGATCAGCTTTCGCCTTGATGAGTTGTTGTTGAACCTCAACGTCTCGAATCCGCCCAATAAAGAGGTCTTTTAAAGTCTCCTTTTCCTGGTCATTAGGCCAATTACACAAAGCCACTTGGGCGCTCAAGTGAGCGTAAAATGACGAGAAAGTGTCATTTTCAAGCATGAAAACCGTGTTATACAACTTGATAGGCTCCACCGTAAACTCTCGCTCAACCTTGAACAGCGTTTCACATCTAATGTGGAATTCTCGAAAAGGAATATTACTAATGTCGGTGTGAGGAAATGAGTCAGTGAATCGTCTCCTTCCTTCATTTCCCAGAGCAAAGAACAAGCGAGACTTCATACGAGCTTCGGCTTCATGATAGAACGAATTCTTTTCTCCTCCTCTCCACGTTTAGTTCGGTAATCCTCCGGATCGCCGCTTGATCTCTCTGTCTGCGGGCATTAGCTGCTCCAGCATCTTCGCCCTCAGCAACTGACTCCGGTCTTGGAGGAGGTTCATCGATGACCTCGGTGGGTTCAACTAACAGATCATGAGGCTTGATATTATCCTTCAGACCAGTGGCCAAAAAAACATGACCGATCCAAGATTCCCACAGGAATGGTAGGTTAATAGAGGCTTTCGCCCAATAGAGAGGAATGCCTAACAGGTCAGTCCTGTCTTCGTTTACAGGAACTGCTGGTTGCGCCATGAGATTTGCCGGAGTTTTAGAATGAAAACTTGGTTGCTGAACAATAAGTAAATTGTTTTAAGGTTAGATACTTTGTTAGTTTGTATTAGTTTGATGCTTAGTTTCGAATATAATCTTGGTTTAGGAAATTTATCCCGATAGATCATGTAAATATGTAGAATCAGATTTACTAGCAAACAGTAGTGATAACAGATATAGAATGAAAAAACACGCGTGGTATTGAAAATAGAGGTTAACAATGACCTTGGTTAATATAATTAGTGTCACTTTGCAGTATGACTGCAAAAGAACAAATAACTTACGAGGTACCGAAGGTCGCCTCACGACAACAGGAAAATCCAAAGAAAAATGGATGTCGTAACTAAGTACCAAAAGAAGGACTTTTAGGGGAAATCTAGCTGACAAAATTGAACCTTCACCTCCGGGGAAGCTATTCCATTTGATTAGGACTTTGTATTGACTAATCAGATTGACTACTTGATAATTTGTTACTGGCTCTTCGGTGTTCTCTGGATACTACAACCAAAGTGACTCAATTGAATTAGGCATAACGTTGTCTTCATAATTCTGCCTTCATAAGTTTATTCTAATTAAATCGGGTGAAACCAACACTAAAGAAAATGTACACTTGTTTTTTACTGATGAGTTAATTTACAGTTTATACTAAACTAAAGTGATTGATTTTTTTGTTTTACATTTTTGTTAAAATCAGCTGCATATGTTGATTTTTTTGTGTCACATGAAATTTGAAACCGCTGCTTTGTAATTTAGTTTTTCGTTTGAGATATTGAGATCTAATAACTTTAGTAAACTAACCTTTTCCTAGCAGTACTTCCAAGTTATCAATAACAATGCAAATTTATTGATAATTTTTTTTAAATACAAAATTGGGATTGAATCAAATAGGATAAAGTTATTTCGTTTAAACGACTCATCGCCTTAAAATTTTGCTTTTCATTTCTTTTTTCAAACCACTCGGCGATAGTTATATGAGCCTATTGGCATGCAAGAATTGCTAGATCAAGTTTTCAGTAGGCAAAAAATTGAATAACCTATTTTTTAATTCTGTTTCAAGGATTACTAGATTTGTTAAAAGCAGAGAAACTTCTTTTTCAAGTTAAATATTTTGGCGAAATGCGCGCTATTTACACTTGCGAATTTTACTGAGCGTTAGTGTTTTACTGGGAGTATTCTTTTTTCTAACCTAAGTTGCTAATATTGGTTCCGCTATTGGAGCATCTTTACGGCTTTTTGATAGCATGTGCTTTGACCGTCGAATATTTATATCTTAACATAGTTGATATATTTTAAATTCATTAAATGAACCAAAAAAAGTCATTTGTTGCAAACAATATTACAATAAAAAAATTTGATTTCAGAATTTTTTTAACTCAATAAATCTTGCAATTTTTTGAAATGCCTCTTTATACAAAATGTGGCTTTATGCATTCGATTTTTTTTCATACAAAAGTAGTGTGGATGCCTTCATTTTGTTTTTTTTTTCCAAAGTATTACTTGCAAAACTGTGTGTATTTCTATTTGGTGCATAGCCTTGGCATCTTCTTAGCATATGCGGCTGCTCTATTTGTGGCTAGTGGTTACAGGTTGTTAAGCGATCGTGACCGTTAGGGCCAATTCTCGAGGTAGCAGGTTCGAAGTCCATACCTAGCAAAACTTTACTAATTCGAGGCTATTTTTTATCTTTTCAAAATTTACTTTATAAAACTGCATTTTCGTCGTGTTCTTGCTAGTGTTTGCGAAGCGCAGCTTCGCGTCTGTGCCAAATTTGCGAACTTGAGTCACCAGATTTCGAACTAGCCAAGTTGACTGCATTTTTTTTTCAAAAGCCTGGTAACTGACACACACGCTTATTAGATTGATTCCTAAATTACTCCTTTCTGATTAGTTGAAAAGTAAATAACTTTTTCCATTAACCAAATGAACTCCCCTCCCCTTAAACGGACTATTTGTGCTTGGTTTTTTTTTTTATTCAGTTTAACAAAAAGTTTTTATATCCCATTGAAGATATCAACTTCCTGAGTTATCTCCTTTTTTGTGAAGTTCTTAGAGTTTGAAGATTGCAATACGGCCATGTTCTAAACTTTGCGCGCTTTCTGAAAGTTATTCATAATGTTGAAAGCATGACGCAAATTATTTATTCAAGGTGAATTATCCCGCACAACAAAATGAATTGAGGCTAGCTAATCGGTGTTATTAATTTCGTGCTACTCAAATTAATCTTTGATATTGTTCAAAACTTATAGATTTTCAAAATGTTTTTTTTTCTCAAAAATTTTTCGATAAGAATTAAGGGACAGTCGGAACATCATTCAGGGCTTTGCACTGACATACGAGCATTCTTGTTCCCTTTGAGACTAAAGTTTTAACACTCAATGGTTGGTATTATCAGCCCAAACTTCAAAATTAGGACATGAATTTGATTTTATCAGCCCAATCAATAACGTTTCAATTGCCAAAGTAGTTTATGACCTATTGAAGGGCAGAAGAAACATTCAGGATTTTGCCCTGATATACGAGCAGTCCTGTTTAAAGTGAGTTATTATTTCTCTCTGATTCAAATACCAGCCATTTGATCTGATAATACCAGCTCCGACTCCAATCCTGAATGATAAAAAAATTGCTTGTATCAGGGAGAAACTGGTTGCCATAACTGCCCTTCAATGTCTTCAAAAATTGTTTTTGTTTTCAAAGAACGATGAAACAATCAAAAGTAAAATTGTTTTGGATTTTTTCATTTTTTTAAACGCTATGAAAATTTCAAAGTGATTCAAGTTGTGTCCAGTAAAATTTCAATATCACCAAATAGTTTGCCCCAGCTCATTTTGCAACTTTTTAAATACCGCTTTAATATGACATTTACGATTTAAATTAGCACCAAATAAATTGCGAAGTAGTTATTCCAAAACGATCAAGTTGCATTTAACTTTACAAAAGTGATCACAGGTAAAATACTTTTCTAAATTTAACATTCTTCTTGTATGGTTCCACAATTCTGTTCAAAGTTGGCTAGTTAAAAAATCGAATTCTCTCTGAAGAAAAAACCACCGAGCACAAGTAATCGGTCTCCTGCTCCAGAATTTGGACGTGCAAACAAAGTGCAAATTCAGAATTTAAGCAATCGTTGACAGATCAATTATCTTGAAAAGTTCAGATCTACGCCGTCTGTTCTGTTACATCCATTATGTTTTGTTGTTTTTGGTTTATTAGCAAGGTTGTCATCAAATGTTTCGCCCTCTGTGTTTGATTGTTATATTTACATCAAATTAAATGAAAATTTGTTCATAATTGTGCTAAGCGTTTCAATACTCCGTCATGCAACTGCCTTTGATTATAACGATAATTTCTGGTAACTTTCTTATATTAATTTTGTGTTATGATGAAAAATAATCAATTAAATATTCTGATTCGTTTGCAGGAGTTGCTGCATGTGTGAGTGCCTCCATCAGCCCATTAGGAGACACCAGAATCTGGGGAGTGTCAGACAATGACGAAGAGTGGACCTCACTTGTGTTTTATGTCTCAAATGGCCTAGAAGAGACCGGAGTAATATGTCAACAACACAGGTACCAAATCTCGCCCTAAGTTAAGCCTGCCAAATAATGTGCAGTAATTCAACGTTTAAAAAACGGTTGCTCTGCTCATTATGTGGGCATCCACTTGCAGCATCAGCTTCGGCTGACACCGTTTAACCGTCGGTTTTCAAAAAAAGTGTAGAATAGTTGTATTTTTAGCGTCTATTATTGCTTGAATGCGTACTACACGGATGCCCCGCCCGATCTGGTTGACGAAGACGATGCAGACTATCATCCTGAAGCAAACAGATTGTGGTTTGCATTACTCATCGAAGAACAGTGGGAAAGGATCAACATGATTAACGAAAAAGAACCTGGTTAGATTTAAGTAGTCCTGAAAAACAGAAAAAAAAAATGTATAAATCATCAAAAAAAATAATATAACAAACTGCTGAAAAAATATTTTGTGATAAGAACAACTTGTACCGTTCTTATATCTTAAGTAAACAACTTCAATTCATAATGTGGTCTCTGCACTCAAAAAAAAGTCAAGGTAAATTTACCTTAAAAAATACCTTAAAACACCTTAACAATTAAGGTAAATTTGCACTACCTTAAGTACACCTTAACTTACCTTAAAACACCTTAAAAATTTACCTTAAATCACCTTAAAAGTGGTTGGTGTGGCTTGTAAATAAGGCTACATTATAAAAAAATGTGTTATGCTACGTTACTGTAAAAATTCGTGGCTAGTTTCTTACGTCGAACTAGCCTATATGATTTTAAAAAATCGTTTTCCCAGGTTTCAGTGTTCCGAAAAAATGGAACCGTGTGTAATATTAAGCTTTAAATAAACCTAAACAAGAAAATGGTGGGTCGGTATTGAGAAAGTATCTCATTTCAGGAGTGTGCTGTGGAACACACGTGTTTAAGTATTGGTTGATGGGGATGAGAAACAAACAAATGGGTCCCATGGAGTACATGGCCAAACTCACAGACTACACCGAACACAACAAAACACTCAACTATATCTCCGTAATATGTCTTTGTTGCTTTTTCATTTTTTACTTTTGATAAAACTTTTTTTGTTATATATTTTTTAATAAGTCGCACTCTAATTTTTTGTATATCCCTAATTGTAGTTCGATGTTACTGATAGGAGCTGCTAGAGACCCCAAACAGAAAAATTCTACACCAAAATTAATCGAAAATCAGACATGAAACAATTGTATATGATTCTATTTTAAGAGGGCAAAAGAGCGTTTCTCTGTGACCAAGAGTTTTGCTTGTACTTTTGACTCCTTATCTCAAGTATAATTGTTCTTGATTTCTTTGTTAGACGTTTTCTTTACCTGTAAAATCTTGTAGGTAAGTTTCTGGCCTGCAATTTGTCTCAATGTTATTCTCCAAGTCGGTTTTGGGACTGGCGAACTCCGCAGACATCACATGCGAAATGTAATCGAAGGAGTTCCCTACATCATCTTGGGCCGCGAATACGGATCCAAGATTGGAGTGCCTGGAATCGATTCACTCCTGATAGAGTTTGCGGACCCTAGAAAAGATTTGACTTTCCATTGGTTTAAGCACAATATCATGTGCAAGCACAATCCATGGATCTGTGATGAAGATGGTTCGGTAATGGAAACTGATGAAATGCCAGAGGCGAGCTCTAGTTCTGCCAAAACCAGGAGTCCTCGAAATTTGAAGAAGAAAGGAAACCGTAGAGGCAGAAGAAAAAATCATTCAATTTCTATGGGGAACTCTAAAAAATAATTACAATGGCGTATACTAAGAAGTGTTGATACTTAAAGAACTTTTCATCCATTATTGATGTTCAATAAATTTCGGCCAGAGGGAGAAGTTGAATAAATTTTTACGCAAGCAATGCTTGTGTTATAGAATGAACTTTCTTTTTTTTCCATTCTAAGTCGCAAATATTGTTGCGACGCAAATATTGTTGCGATAAAAATGTGTTCAATTTGATCAATAAACAGTTATTTAGTACAACCAATGATAAAGATTTTAACACAGACTATTATTGTTCTGACTTTCGTAACGAAAGTAACGGATTATTTGTGCTCGGCCGTTTCTGTACAAAACATTCCCAAACAAAACAGTCCAATACAAAACAAAGTAAGGAAAAGTATGGCAATGAACGAAAAAACCGTCCTATACAAAACAGTCCGAAAACAGTCCCAAGTAATAATTGTTTTAACCAGCCGGTAAGCCGAGAGTTTTCCTTTGCTCAACAGACATAAAGCCCAAAATAGTGACCGCCGCAGTCGCGCCAACATGTTGCGAGCTTGCCAATAGAGGGTAGGACTTAATACGAAATTTAGAACCGGTTATAGCCGCGAAGCGGCAACGCGCGCGCAGTGCGCCCACCGGCGACCTTAAGCCCGACTATTTGTAATGTACTGTTTTTTCATCTATTACCTAATTTTTTGGACTATTTTGTATTGGACTGACTGGAATGGGACTGTTTTGTATAAGCACCGTGCTCGGGGTGGTTTTTTTTTCTTCAGACAAATTTCAACTTTTTAACTAGCCATTTTTGTGGGGATTTTTTTTACATCATTCAAAAAATTTTGTTGTCCTGCGCTTAAATTTGGAAAAACAATTCACCTGTGATCACTTCTAAAAGTTATGAAGGTTTAAAAGATGTGATTTTGGCTAATGTGGGACAATTAACGCGCGATATATGTGGGACAATTTACGCGCAATTAAAGCGGAGATTTAATCCGTCATGAAAATAGTTCCAAATTGGTTGATTGAAGCTTCTTTTCCATAATTGATTTGTTACTTGGAGCAAAACTTATCCTTTTCTACTTCATATGGCGTCTGGGGCGATGACTTTTACGAAAAGTCTCAAATTGAAAAAAAAAATTTACATATGAATTTTTCATGTTATTACTGTTTCATAGATTGCTCTATAAATTGAGTCTTGTTAGTTGGTTGTTATTTGAGTCTTGTTATTTTTTTCAAATTGGCTGGTACTGCTAATGCGTCACAATTAGCGTGTGTCACTAAAGAAGTTTTGTAGACTCAAGATTTACTCATTCATTTTTTCCCAGTAGCGTTAATAAAATTCATAATAATAAAAGATTGAATTAAACCCGCAACACGGGGATTAGTTGCTCTTGGTCATTGATAACAAAATTGGTAAAATAAACTTAAAAACCATGACTCTGGATAAATCGAGTATTTAAAAATTTGTAGTTTTTTCAGCAAAAACAGGTTCAAATTCTTTCCAAAGATTACAGGTTCTTGAAAAAGATCATAGCCAGGCAAATTGTACGATCTGGTGAGGGTGTTTGATATTTTTGCGACACGGTGAAAGAAATTTTTAAAAAGTTTGCTCCGTGTTATCATTGGCATTCTCAAAAACGCCTTATTTCCCGTTCGATTTGAATCAGGGCCCTTTTTGATAGTCCAAAAATTAAGGAAATTCATCGGCAACTCGTTATTAAAAATGACATTCAACAAAATTAAATCTTTTTTAAACAACGTCAGTGAAAATCTCAAAATACTTTCATTCAAGTATAAAACATATCCCTCATCAATCAGTATATATATTTTTGTATTACCATTTTAAGCATCGTCGTTGAAAGTTTTCTCATCGCTTACATTGATTTTTATTCGCAAACCAAACTGAAGATGCATGAAAAATTATTGATAGTATGCAACTTTTGAAACGCGAAACCCAAACAAAGCTACTCAGTGAGTCTGGTGAAATCTTCCGATGTAATTGAATTTCATGTTTGCTTTTTAAGCCTTTCGGTGATGTGGTATATCCTTGACATTTTGAGTTTTCATACCCTTGACATTTGGTCCTGATTTCCTTTACTCAATTCGTTAAGCATTTCGCATTAAAATATCTGATAAATATATTCGTGGGAAAATACTTTAGCAATGCTTCCTTGTCTTTTTTGTGCAAATGCAAGAAAAATCCAATAAAAACCTCACAGATTGCAAAATCAGAGCATAAAGTGGTATTTTGTATGGTGAAATTTTCCAGGGTACTTTTGCTTTTCCATTTAGCGATCTGAGAAGTGTGTAAGTTGTTTTTAAATCGAAATGTTTCTTTGACTCAAAGTAAACGGCTTTGTCTAGTTCTAAAGATTCATTTAAATCTTGCTTGCAGCGCTTAAAGTTCTCGTCAAAAGAATTATCTTTCAATGCCGTCTGAAGACAATTTTTAGCCTTTATTGAGTGTAATGGCATCCAATGGGGGGCTTTAGAGCGATGATTTGTCATTTTTGGAATATATTTGTTAACGGCTTGATAACAAACACATCGAACATTTCGAGCTTTCTATTTGCATCATTCGAGCATTGAAGTCTGTTGTTTAAGAAAAACAAACGCAAAGATTCGGAGTAGGCTTTACGGATACAGTAACGGTTTATATATATCTGTTCCGTTACAATTTCAAATGCTTTTGGACATGCAAGTGCAGAATGATTGGAAAAATTTTGGTTTATTTCGCAATTTCTACGTAAAAAAAGAATTTCTGTTAACAATACGTCTCGCTGTAAAAAATCCTTATCTTTTAGTAAACCAAGGTTGAATTTTGCAATTGATTTCAAAAAACTGGATTCACGTTGATCATTACTTGATAAAGTGTTCCAATCAACTGAAGTTAAGTTCAGATCGCGGCATAAAATCCAGTGCATTTTGTTGAAGTGAGATTCTAACATACGAGTTGTTTGCTTACTTCACTCGAAATTTTTTCAATTATAATTCCGTTTCGTTTAAAGTACAAAGACTGTCATGCGGTGGATTGTAAACTACTGTTACGCAAAGCGTCAGATTATTCAGTCTCACAAATAAATATGACCCAAAGTCAAAAATAACTGAGTGATTATTGATGAAATTTAGTTTAGATGATGTTTTAATCGCAATTAGGACTCCTCCACGAGGTGAAGTTTTCCTATCAGAACGTTGAATATCTTCATATACATTTGTGCAGTAGACTGCAGTATTTTCTACATGTTAACCCGACCATGTTTCACTTAGAGCAACAACGTCAGGTTGATGGAGTTGCAATAAATTGTCCAGATTGATTTTCCGTTCAATTGTTAATATTGATCTGCAAATAGGTGACGAAAGTTTTTTTTGTAATTTAGTAGTCAAGAGGAAAAGTTCACTTCATCAAGAATTGTATCAGACTCAGATTGAACCTATTTATTATAGTCAATTGTGTAAAAGCCAAAAACAAGGCTTCCAGCCTTCAGTTTGAATTCTGATTTTTCTAATCGTATCTATATTTCAGAATTTCGCTTTCGTTCTGATAGTCCGCATACTTCCTAACTTCTTTGATATACAATTGCGAATTCTTCAGTTATCTCAATGACAGAAAAATAAGCTTATGGTGCCAAGGAGATGGAATGTAAAAGACAAAAGGTCTTGATTTGTCTGAAGTTCTTTACGATGTCTAAAACAGTCGCTCACAGTAATTTTTTAAAGTTCCATCCTATCTCTGAACATTTGCAGCAACCTATTTCTGTCCTTTTTGATTTGCACGACTGAATCGTCCTGTGTATTTTCTGCTAATCCATATATCACTAGTTTCTTTCCAATAAGACAAGAGTCTGTTTTAGCTTGGTTTGGAGTAGGAGCAATATAATATGGTGTAGATAAACTGCTCTGCTTTGATATATTTTTTCGCAAAACGCTAATACCTCTCTCAATTGACAAAAATTGTTATTCGGTCTAATGGACTGCTTCAAAGAAGCAATGTTTTTTATTTCAGAAGTTTCTTTGAATTAGGTTTGGTCGTTATTCTGTTCTATTGAACTTTTTACATCGGTCAAATCGTTTTGGATTGCTAAGTTTGCGTTTCGAATTTCGTTTGTGATTTTCTCAAAAGGTTGTTTCAATTATCTTTTTCTGTGTTTAAGTCTAAACACTCCTCATTTTTCCAGAATAAACTTTTTACTTTGACTAAATTTTGGAGAACTTCTGTGGAAAATTTGTTACAGTCATCGTGAAACCAGTTTTCGCATTTGTCACAGGATTGACAATTAAATTCGCATTCATTTCCGCAAAGCTTACATGGATATTTTGGGATCTTCAAGTATTAAAACAATTATATTCTGTTATTAGACGTTTTCCGTTTTATTTTTGGCATTTTCCCGAAAAAAAATTAGGCGGAAAATTGGATTGATCTCACCAAGCTCAACAATCCGCTCCAAAGCTCACTTGAATCTGGATGCCTTCAATCCAGCCCAAGTGTCCACCAATATGGATCTGTTGGTGTAATCATTCTAAACGTTTCCTCCAAACCAGTCCAAAAATCCACTAGTGGGTAAAGGCCCCCCACGCGCACAGTATCACTAGTCAGCTTGGTTTTCGGGCCCCTCCACGCGCTTAGTTTCACTGGTGATATGATATAGTATTGGGACACAAAAAAGAAGCAATTTTAACCAAAACAAAAATATTTTCAGATCCATTTTTCTTTTCAAAGTAAACCGCACGCGCAAAACTTTTCTAGACTGATTATCGGTCATATTTTTGCCTGTGTACGCGAAGTGCAACTTCGCCGCTGTGTAAAAGAGATACCATGCTATTTTTAAGCGAGCAAGGCGAAAACTTGTCAAAGTTGTGAAAAATGACGTTTGGCAGAGCGCAAAACTTTTCCGTGCAAATACCATCAGGCGTTTTGAAAACAGTTCATTTTTGGTTCTCGCCGGCGTACGTAACTTCGCACTCCTTCAGCATTAAAATATGTCTCTTTTAGTTTAAAAAAAAATGTTTATCAACTGGAGTCTAATATGCTTATAGGAAATGGGAGCGGGTAAACGTAGAGGTTAACAATGCTGGGTTTAATAAGCCTAACAAAGGAAAAGGC